AAATAAAAAGGAAATTAAGGTACATACATATTTCATTAGCAGGTACGTTAAACGCTAAAAAAGAATTCTTGGAACCACATGCAAGACATTCACTTGCGGTCAAAATGATAGCTCCAACATAAAAAAAGGTCAACATTTTGAGGTACTATTTTTTTTACCTGGACTGTATATGAAGATCAAACACTTCTTTTTTTAATTTCTTTGGATACTCTCTTGAAGTACGCGCATTTCCAAATTATGCTTTTCAGAAGTAGTTTTTATTTGCAGCTCATGCAATTCCTTCATATTAGCAACACGCAACAAATGCTCGGTTTTGGCAAACTCCAATTCCTGTTTCATTTTTGATTCAGACCATTTGGCCTTTAATTCCGCAAGTTTAGTCCAACTTGACTGCTTTGCTTTTCCAGTATCAAGGCACAGTTTCTTGTTTTTACACGTTTTTAGTTGAACTGGTGTATATTTTTCCCAAGTTTCAAAATCCTTTTCAATAACTCCTGTAAACAAATAAGCTTTTTGAAAGGCTGAGATTATAAAAACATATTTATGTATATACATACCATCATTTTGAGTTCCAGAATATTTTGGGGTTGAAATGCAAATATTATTGCTTGTCGACAAAGTAGCCTCCCCTTGCAAGCCCAAGCAATCAGTCATTGTAGTATCTGTAAGTAAAAGTAACTGAAATTCATGAAGTTCTTTGAGCAGAATCAGCCAATTTGAATTTTATACCATTTTCTTGCTGCAGTGTTTGACTATGAATCAGTTGTTCGCTTCGTTTAAAAATGCTGGGCTGCCGTGATGCACACGGACTTAAATCACGGCCTGCAAATCAGAAACGTATACATATTTGTATAGGTTCGTTTGTTGGTACATATGTATGTATTAAGAGCTTTTCCGCTATTACTTGAACACTCCAAAATTTCATATTTTTCTTCTGTGGATATGAAGTCGCTGTCGTATTGGGAAATCATCCCCTCTATTTGCTTTTCTGGCAAAATATCTTTTAACAAGTTGTCGAATTCATCAGTGGCTGGTTCTTTTGATGGACCTCCGCCGGTTCCATACACATATTTCTTATGATCTGCAGATCGTTTTTTCATATCTGCCTTTAAATTTGCATATTTAGTACGCAAAACTTTTGCTGATCTTGGTGCCCCGGTACTCGTCGCGTTGAAACTCTCAGCTAGAGTATTCCAGGCCTTTTCTTTTTGATCTGGCCTAACTTTGCCGGTTGCTTTGCATTCCAGCACACT